TTACTTCCGTTGGTCGCAGGTTCGTTTCCTCACACGGCACAAATATTTGTATTCGTATTTGTATTCGTTGTTAATATCTTGCACCATCATTATTACCATTTTTTTTGACAATTCACACAACGCCATCTAGACCCAAGTTAATCTAGCTAAAGCTTGTGTTATGAGTACTAGATAACTGATACAAATACATAAATATTTTTTTTCGTAACTACATACATATTATACCTAGAAAATACCCAGACCGACGCAAATAATCGTATGAGTACGATTTGAATTGTCAAAAAAAATGGTAATAATGATAGTGTAAGAAATTAACAACGCTCTCTGACGCTGGAGCTCTCTGACGTTGTTAATAGTTGTCCTGAGATTATCATTAAAGTAAATTTGTTCATCCTATATATAATACTTAACTTTTAAGTTAACTTTTTAAGCTTTAAGAAATAGTTCTTTTCATTGACTGTATTAATTGACAGAAAAAAACAATGTCCCGTTTTGAGACACAGAATAAATGGTCACAATAAATATGATGCGCGCGCGCCGCTATCACGTATCTTTATTGCATCTACCATCTACTGAACAGTTGCGAGCACGCTTCGTTATAACTATATTCACACCTTGCTTAATATGTACCGTTAATTATAAAATGCATACATTAAATATTATATTAGTTAAATTATTTATCTAAATACTGGTATTTATTTGCGTGTATTGCATAATGTACATCATTACATAGTATAAAACAAAGTCGTTGTCCCTGTCTGTCCCTATGTATGCTTAAATCTTTAAAACTACGCAACGGATTTTGAAGCGGTTTTTTTAATAGATAGAGTGACTCAAGAGGAAGGTTTATATGTATAATACATGTACACCCGGGCGAAGCTGGGGCGAGTGCACATAGAAAATACATATTATATATAGAAAACACCCAGACCGATACAAACAATCATATTCATGAATACAAATGTTTGTGCCGTGCGAAGAATCGAACCCGCGACCATCGGATAGTAAAGCGGCATGTAGACCACCGAGGCCGTCAGACATATAATATTTATCAATAGTCAGTTTAAAAAAAAATGTCCGTCTATCTATGTATCGAATTCCACGTCTGTCGGATTATTTAGTCTCATGAATACAAATGTTTGAACCATGCGAGGAATCGAACCAGCGGCCATCGGACGTGAAGCGGTGTGCTAGACCGCTAGACCACCGAGTCGTCATCATAACTATATACATATATAAAGTCTTTAAGAAACCCAGTCGTTAAAACCTATATAAAAAAGTGCAACCAGCATGCTCCTGGCAGGATTAATGAATTGCACGCCACATAAGTACTTAGATGATGCGTTTCCAACAAAAAGGAAACAGTATAAACAAAGCGTGCATTGCAGATTGCGCAGGCGCAGCGACGCGTGCCGCGCGACCCCGCCGCGCCGGCAGGGGCTCTCAACATGTTTACAGGACTTACAAATGCTAAAGTTCACATCAATATTGTAGAAAAAATCCGATATTTTAAAAATATATTAAAAGAAGGTAGTTTGTGTTTAGTACTAATGAAGTACTCAATGTAAAGATTATTACAAATATTGTAAATAGCGCCATCTAGTATTTATAGACCGAACTAAGTTGTTTATAATAAGATTTTTTTTTCTTTTTTTTTATATATAACTTTTGTATATTTTTTTGCATGTTGTGTTCGCCTATAAATGATTGTACAATTAGACCATAACCCATCACATGTAATTAAATTAATTGTATAATTGTAACAATTGTTGGTGATCCTAAATAAAATAAAAAAAAAATAAAAAAAATAAAAGAAACCGTTCCGCTTCTACCCTACTACACTGATTTCGGTCTATAAATACGGAGGTAGAGTATAAATCCCGTCCGATCGATCCCCCGTCCAATTCAACGGGGATCGATGTTACGACGGCCTGAGCCGAGGTTCGAACCCCAAGTGGTGCCCTCAGAATAAAGTCGTATCCGTCAGGCGGGAGTTGGCCTTCAGCCGCTCCATAAGTCCTTCCTTGGTTTGGAGTGTCATCTGCACTCGCCCCCTAACGTCCGGTGAAGCTGTAAAGGCCAGCTGCGGCCAACAGCATTAGAGTAGTCCGGAAAAAAGAAAAGTATAAATACGGTAGTTGTAAAATCCTCTTTCGTTGGGTGAGCCACTGCATTCAGTCGACGAGCGCAGAGAGTGCCGGTTGTGTTTTGGATACTAAAGTGAATTGTATTAGAAATGGGTTTATCCCGGTCTTAGTTGGGTCTGGGGGGAAGCTGCAAGTAGTGAAGGTGAGTGTTAATGCATTCTAAAAGGGCCTTTTAAATCTACACCCGTGTCACAAGTCACGGGCGCTACTTGGGGTTTACCATGCGGTAGCTGGCTTCAAAGCCTAAGTCGTCATTTTTAATTAGTGATTCTTACACAAATATACTATAGACTTATTTTTTTATATATTTTTTACCTATAAATGATAATGAACAGTGCACTCGCCTGTGCTAACGGTTCACGCTGACGGGGCACCAATGAAGAATGATAAGATGATAATGTAGTCAGTTAGCCCATCGTGATAAATTTACCACAATGGTTTCCCAAATAACATATTCCTTGCACCAACCTCTCTTTAAATGATTATTAGAAATTTCGTCTGTGTATTTTTGCAGGATAATCACAGAAATGGCTTCACCGATTTAGATACCAGTAATGGTTAGCCGCAATTAAAATTTGGTTCTTGTTTTGATCTAATTCTTTAACAAACTTAAAAAATGACGCTCGTATGGAATCATGAGTTTAGCTAGTCATTAAAATTAGTTTAATGAGAATACTAGTTAAGATATAATTGTACACTGTGAATGTCGGCTGGACTCCATTCTCCACAATCAGCCTGTCATATGGGCCGTTGTGCGTGTAGAGCCGAGACTACTAGGGTAGGCAGCCAAGCTCCTCCCAAAAGCACACTCTCCTGGTGTCTTCACAGGCTTCACGGAGCGACCTCACCGTTCCGAGGATATGTTTTCATTGTTTGGCCACTGCAAGCACTCCAGGATTACGTGAGCAGCCGTTTCTAATTGAATACTAATGCTGGATGTTGTCGGTACAGACGCTGTACCCACGACTTCATCCGCGTGAAGATTTATTTTTCTATAATTAAAGTAGCCTAAGCTACTCCTTATTACATCAGCTGCCTGCTGCTAAAAGTCCCGTCAAAATCGGGCCAGCCATTTCAGAGATTAGCCGGAAAAAATAGACACAAAATTGTAAAAAAAATATATATAATAGTTTGGTGTATATACCGTATTTATATGCATGTAGTAAAAAATCTCTCTCTGCTGCTGGCATCCGATTCCTTCCAGCGATCTTGACCAGACCGTCGGTCCACCTTGCTGGAGGCCTTCCCACGCTGCGTCTTCCTTACGCGATTATAATATTAAGTAATGAAAATAAGTAATGAAACTGTTGCGTACCCCAGCACTGGTGCGCGGCTCAATTGCACCAGATTATCCAATAAAGAGCACTTTCTCTGCAGCTGTGACCCTGGACCCACGTCCAGTGATCACTAACGCGATACATCAGCTCGATTATAGTGCATTAACACCCGCTTGTGAATGCATTACTGTAGATATGTATGTAACTGTTGGGAAACTCTGTTGATTAATATATTTAAAGTTTATTTTTATGTTCTTTAATTAAAAGTATAAAAACAAAATTATATAATACTAGCTACTCGCCCCGGCTTCGCCCGGGTGTACATGTATTATACATATAAACCTTCTTCTAGAATCACTCTATCTATTAACAAACCGCTTCATAGTCCGTTGCCTTGTGTAAAGATTTAAGCATACATACGGACAGACAAACAGCGACAGCGACTTTGTTTTATACTATGTAATGATGTCACTTCGCTGTCTACCATTTTACCATTTAAACATTTTTCCAGATATAAATAGTTTAGTAACACATTTCTACACAAGCCGTGGCCGCGGTTTTACCCACCGCTTATACTTATAGCGTATGTGTTATCCTTATACTTATATTTTGAATGTGAATGTTTGTTACACTTTCCGCAAAAACTACTGAACCGATCATCATGAAATTTTGTGCACATATTCTTGGAGGTATTAGATATAAAAAAAAACAAAAATAAATATCAACATTTTGCTACTTCAGCGCATCATCTCATCATCATTTATTCAAATAAACTTAATTAAAGCACTTTTGAATAGTCATAACATTTTTTTTATCTACCACTTGTTCGGAGAACTGTCTCATCACAAGAAGAACAAGCAAGACACTTGTGTGTTGCTCTTTTAAATAATCCTTGTAAGTTCACATTTACAAGTCAAAACGTGTGAATACAAACTACCAACCAGCACAATTTTTTTGGGCAAATATAAATATACAATAACATTAAATCAGTCGTAGTGATAAAAGCAGTCCAATCTTTACAAGCAGCACTCGTTCGCGAGTATGACGGATAAGCCAGCCATCACTGCACTCGACCATATTTTAGGGAGCCCAATGATCCGGTCCACCACGCCGCCATATGTCTGGACATTTTAGTGAGCATGACTACTCATTCCACTTGACCACGTCACAGCTACTTTAAATTACTATATGGTAGTCACAGTATTCGCACTTTACATGAGGATGCATGCGGCAATCAATACAAAAGCCGCTACGCTATCATATATCAAGAAAGCAGTATAAAAAACAAATTATAACGTTGTCCGCAAATAAACTTACTTGCTATATATTGCTATCATCTCTGAATTCATCTATCCTATAATAGGCTTTTTTACATAACATTTGTTTAATATAAAATTTGAATTGCCTCTCTGTCAGATTTAGCGTAGATCCTGGCAGTTTATTATAGAATCTTTATTATTAATAGAATGATAATAATAAACTGAAACTATAGCAATAAAACTACATATCTAGGAATATTGTATAATATTCAGTATAATAAATATAACTTTATTGTAGTTTATTACAGATATTTATCATAATAAACATAGAACGGCATCTACAAATGAGTGTATGTATTGTGAAATTGCTATTTTTTATATTTATTTAGCGCTGGCAATACAGTTTCTTGAGAACTCTTATCAATATACGATTCAATATCAGGCTCCGAAGTTAAAAGTTTCTTTGGTAACATTATTAAAGGTGTCCTTAATCTCTGTCTTTGGCCAGTACACGTCCTTCTGATTATTGTTGGACTTGCAATCAAATGTCTAACCTCTTCCATATCACTATCATAATAAAAATTATTACTACTAGTACCTTTGCAGCTATAATGATACTTAGACTCATGTCTATGACAAAATGGGATCTTATCTTCAGATTTATCACAATGTTTACTCACAACGGAGACTCTACTGTAACCATCCGTCAAGTTTGCTGGAGAAGGAGCACGAATTGGTACCTTTGCATAATTATTGGCAATAGAGTCACTAATGCCTTCATTGTATAAGACTTTTCTAGAATTATCATATTGCTCATGTGGTTGATTAGTGCTTAGTTTCTTCTTTGTTGTAAAAGTCATTTTTTGCAGATCCGGCTGATCATATTCGTGGTAATCATTTCCTATGTCTGTATCTCTTACAGCTTCATCCAAATAGGTATGACAAGGTCCATAGTCTTTGCAAGCAGGATCTATGTATTTTGACCTTTGCATATTAGGTTTCTGAAATGCATGATCTTCCTGAATTTGCGTTAGTGTTTGTGTATCCCTGACAGCTATATCGGATGCTGTTACTGACACATTTGACATTTTAGGAGTCGAAATAGGAGTACAAACACCACAGCATGCATCATTCAGTTTTGGTGTCATCGTGTATTGATTACGAAAAGTCATAATATTGTCTTTAAATATACCAGATTTCACGGATGATAATTTAGAAGGGCAAGATTTCATTGTGCAATTTTCGCATCTGCAAATAAATTTTCGTCTTTCATCTACAGCTTCTGCTTGGGTGTCTTCAGCTGAACTTACTTCTATGTAAGGACTCCATCGAAGGGAATGTACCATCGATGGGTAGGCTGGAATAGGTGGAACTATCCCCTTTCCTGAATTCCTCAACCGAGGTTCAACTTTATGGGATGTTAACAAGTAAGTAGGCTCTGATTTTGATACCGGTTGATGGAAATATGAAGCAAACTCATTTGTTAAATTTCTCTCGGGTGAACCAATAATTTGACTGATTAACTGAGCTCTTGATTGTTCGCTTGCAATCATATTTGTGTGTTTGTAATTATATTCAAGTCTTCTATTTGAATTTGTCCTGCCGTGTCCTTCAACTCCGTAATGTCTAATAGTATCAATTCTATTTTTATTACTGGGATATTTGCTTTCCTTGTTTGTCATGATGGCTGAATAATTATTATTAAACAATTTCAAGTAATCATCTTCATTGAAATCTTGCGTTTGCCTGCATTGAATTTGTCAATAATGAATATGACAATGACAATACTCAGATTGTGTCTAAATATCTTCTTAAAGAAGTTTAAAACGATTGGAATAAAAAAGAAAATCTTATTATTTTAACAAAACTTATAATCTAATACAACCAGCTACTATATCTGGCAGCATAAACAGTAAATATATTAATAAACGAGTATTGTTAATTACTTAACTCGAATTCTATTATGAGTGAGAATAAGAGAATAGGGGAGCACCATTCTATTATCACACATTAAAAAATTCATTTATTGACACTTGCGTTAACGGTATACGCTGGCTGAGTACTAATAGAAGCTGGATAGGTTGAGTGTGAAGCCAGATTAGTAGTGAATTCACCAGAAGTTAACCACGATGATTTTCAGGGTGGCTAGCTACTTGGCTATGCATTAATAGCATAGGAGTCATTAATCTCCATTACTAACAATCCCCTCCCTCCCTCATTAAAATATAACCCGCTATGTTATATTTCAACTGAATGTAAGAACAAAGTTAAAGGCAGAGGTAGTTGATAGTATAAATATAAAAGTAAACAGCTGATGCAACGGAAATACCTCGTTGATCGCGAACCACTTTAATTCATATCCTCGTGACAATACGGATTGAGTAACACATCTCCTTACAAACTTAATCTTACCGCTGGTAAACGACAACAAACATATCAATACCACTACGACAATAGTGACATTGACTGCAAATTTAACTTTGGCGGTGATAACACCAGTCCACATTGGAGTGACCTACCTCGCCCCCCTCCTCGCGTGTACTGTCCGGTGTATGAGGGGAACAGGTTCAATTGAGCATGTCTTATGTCATACGCTCGAAGACGGCAGATGCACGCAATTGTCCGAGTCAAAGATCAGAGGAAGTGTGTGCGATGCGCGCGCGCAGCTGACGTGCGCGTGCGCACTGTTTACTGATTGCCGCTCTGATGATTAGTTAATTGTTTGGTAGGATTATATTTGATTATGATTAGTATATTGATCTCTTAGTTCCTTATGAAATGTAGTGACGGAATTGCGAGTACTAATTGCATATTTATTACATTCATTTCGTTTATATTTCACACCAATAGATTCTTGTCGGAGTCAGTAGGTTCGCACGTTGTGGTTTCACCAACAGCCCCAAGATTATTTCAGGTTATTTTATGAATATGAAAATTTACCTTTCCATTATAAATATGTAAAAATACGAAATAAGACATAACTGTAGTCTCCTTCTGAGTATGAGCATCTATCAATATTACGAAAAATTTGTATTAATGTATACTAGCTGTGAATTTACATTATATAATAAAATGAGCAGCTTTTTAATAATGTAGCCTACATATACAGTTTTTTAACTACAACTTATAATAAAATGGTAAAAATACAAATAGAAATAAATTTTGTGAGTGTTGAAAGAAGACAAACCTGAGTTTAGAGACTTTACATGATAAGAGAGACTTTGTCATAAACAAAAACTCCATATTTTTTTGTTCCCAAAAAGTATAAGGCGAAGGACACAAAAGACCAATTATCGATCACGAGGTTAACTTTACTGGCAGACAATAAACACTGAACAACAAGTTACCGTAAACAATAAACACGGAGGCAAGTGATCCAACGACAAACTAAAGCTAAACCCCATAAAAATATAATTAACACGCGGTAGGCCGCAATTAAAATTACTTCCCGATCAACATACGAACACATAAAAATTTTATGGCCACTAAAAATAAAGGAATGTGTCTATTGTAGATAACTAGTACTTAACTTACTGTATCAATTACAGAATTGTCGTTTCAGATGACGGTTATTTTTGGAGTGTTTTGGGAGTCGTCGTGGGTAATATTGGATCGTTATGAGATATTAGAAAGAAAGAAAGAAAAATATTTTATTCAGTGCAATGTAAAAAATACAATATAAACAACAAACGAAAAAAAAGAGCAAATAAAATGTACATATAATTAAACTTAATTTACCATAATTAAAAATAAACATAAAATAATCATTTTTTGTATATATTCCATTTATATGTAAGAGGTAAGAAAGGAAATTTGAATCAAATCAAAAAACAAATCACTTGGTCTGTTTGGGTTACGATTACTGATTAAATTACTAAAATGCAATTACACAATATTTATTCATACTAATATTATGAAGCTGAAGAATTTGTTTGTTTGTCTGAACGCGCTAATCTCAAAAACTACTAGTGCGAATTGAAAAATTATTTTTGTGTTGGATGGTCCATTTGTCCAGGAAGGTTTTAAGCTATATAACATTACGCTACGACCAATAGGAGCGGAGCTGCAATGAAAAATATTGCAAAAGGTGGGGAAATTAACGCAGACGAAGTTGCGCGGAGCAGCTTGTATAATATATTTATATAATAACACAATATAATTTATAAGTGATAATAATGTTTTTGTAGAAAATATCTAACTTAAAATTCAGAGCGCTAACAATGTTATCTGATTTAACTGAGATTAAGTGCGTAGCAGTTACTATGTTGATTGTCGCATACCTAGTCCTTGTTAATGTAAATATAATTAAAACAATATTAATTTAAAAGAGCAACACACAAGTTTCTTCCTCATTCTTCTTGTGATGAATCTGCGTTCCGAATTAGTGGTAGAATAAAAAAAATGTGACTATTCAAAAGTACTTACATTAAGTTTATTTGAATAAAGATTATTTCTATTTCTAATAGCATAACCTGGTGGTCTCTATATTCTCCCTAAACTGTATCTGTATTTTAGTAATCATGTACAAGATCAGTTGAAAAGAATAAGAGCTGAGTTTCTTGTCAGTTCTTACCTCGTATTCGCATTCCGAATGAATTCCAAAATATCTTTATTCATATATGTCTATTACAGACTCTGAGATTTAACATATTATAAGAGTCTGTAATACACGTATGTGATTAATATTTTGATTTATATAATTTGATTATAAACTATTGTATATTTATACAGAACAAATGAAATTATTTTGTCACACGTATTTTGGTTAAAACTTTACTTTAAACTCCTGAGTTTATTTATTTAGTATTTATATTTTTTGTTGAATTTTTTCAAATCAAAATATTAATCACATACGTGTATTACAGACTCTTATAATATGTTAAATCTCAGAGTTGTTTTATTTGTATTATATTTCGATCCAAATATGCTAAATATGGTTTTTTCAAGCTAATTTTCTCTAAAATAACATATTATAGGCACACTAGCTTTTGCCCGCGGCTTCGCTCGCGTTAATTTATCCCCTCGGGGATAGGATTACTCAAAATCCTTTTGCGGATGCCTACGTCATAACATCTACCTGCATGCCAAATTTCAGCCCGATCCGTCCAGTGGTTTGGACTATGCGTTGATAGATGTCAGTATGTCAGTCACCTTTGAGTTATATATATTTAGATTATGACAGTCTGGAGAGTTATTTAGAAAAAATTGATATCTCATTAGTTAGTCTATACAGTACAGGTTTTATGTAAGCAACATAATATTTTATCTCTATTCTATGTGAACACCATAAATAAAAGGAAGACCATAGTCTCTGGTGATGGTTATTATAACAATTAACTCCAGTTATAGTGTTTAATCTTAGTAGCGACTGTAATTTAAATTAATTGTTAAATTTAACTAAGCCGGAAGTGTCCCCAGTAAGTCGCGGTAACCACGCCGCATCGAGACGCGTCTTGCAGGTACAGCTCGCGGCCGGGGCCGGTGCAATCAATAAAATATATTTTATTACAAACAAAACACAATAAAAATAAACTAACAAAGCGTTTTTGTAAATAAAAAGTTTTAAAACAGTGGGAAAGCGACGTGCGTTTGGTAACTTGTGCATTGGCAGTAAAAATGTTATGGGCGCAATCAATTTTAAAATGTCACTGTGGTTTTAGGAGGTAGTTTTAATTTTTGACGTTTATGGCCCGCGCGGTGCGTCCGGCCCGAGACGACGCGTCGCTCACCGACGATATTGTGGTACCGGGGCGATAGGCCGATATACTTATAATATATGGTCTGTATGAGACATATGTGATTAATAAATATGCAGTTGAAATGGGAACCTGTCTAGAACTATAAGTGAGTAAGTATAGAACGTATATCTAAAACTGCACTAGTAGTCTCCTACTAGTTTTGTCTGATCAAGGAGAGAAATACGAGCAGTGAAGTCATAATATTAATACTAGATTTAAAGACAAACTTGTTGTACCCAAGTATCGTTTAGAAAAAGTCAATAGGTCTTTTATGGGAATAGATATAAAAATTTAAAATAAGATACCAAAGGATATATTACAATTACCCTTAAATAAATTCAAAACATCTGTTAAATCATATTTACTGAGCAAAGCCTATTTATTCTCATTAAACGATATTACTCACTAAACGATTACTTGAATGAGGAGCGTGCATGGCAATAGGTTGTGCACGGGATTTTCATTTAAGGTTAGACATATAACTATATAGATATAGTAGATTATATACAGTTTATTTACAATATTATAGTTCATGTACACTGTAAATAAACTGGGGATGAAAGTTTGTATGAAACTGTCAATTTTAAACCGATCGGACTGAAACTTTGCAGCATATAGCTACTATGACGTAGGAATCCCCTAAGAAAGTATTTTGATAAATTCCACCCCTAAGAGGATAAAATAGGGGATGAAAGTTTGTATAAATCTTCTTAGATTTTGTAGGCCCTAATTTTTTACACATGCTAAACAAAAGTAAAGCCGCAAAAACTACACCTAATTAATAATAATACTACGCGAGCGAAGCCGCGGGCAAAAGCTAGTACAACAATAAAATTGAAATACAACTGGGCTACTCCAAATTAACGAGTGTACTGTGAACACTACTATATTACGCGTAAAACAAAGTGGAATGATAACGCGGTCGTAAAAACCGCGTATGATATATGAACCAATTAAATATATCTCATTAATAATGATGCAGGTGGAAACGAGGTTTAAACATTTACATTAAA